ACATAACTTGAAATACTATTGTAAATGGATTTTCCCTGTTAGATCTAACTAATGGAGCTCCAGTAAATCATTTTCTTGCAGTATATTTTTCTTTATGCTTTCAGCAAATCTTACTTGGTCGTGTCTGAATTTACTAACCAACTGCTGCACACCTCTTTGCAGGCATTACAGGTATTATAGGAAACCTCACCTTACATATACTCTCATGCTGTTGACACACTGTATTTTGAAGTTTTTTTTGGTTAATTTAGCTCTTTACTATTGTGTCATGCACAGGTGTATAATAATGTATAGTTTTAGATTAGCTCCTATGGTGATCAGAAAATAGTTTGATAGCATGTCTGATAGTTTCACTCCCACTGTGTATGAAAACATAAAATTCAGGTGCATGAACAAACCCCACGCTTGCTCCAATCTCTAACACGTAAACAGCCTTAATGCCTGAATTCCTTTGCCTTCCGTTGCTCTCCCTGTGGCTGCTGTTCATGTCTCCTGACATGTGTTCGTCTTGGGGTACCTGGGCCTCTCATTACCCCTGTCTGCATTTCTGGAGGTTGCGGCTGGCGAGGGCCTGTGGTTACACCTTGTCAAATGGGCCTCACAGTCAAAAAGAAAACACCCATGACATTGGGTTGCAATAATGATTAAATATTATTGATATTGACTCATCTAAAAAATATTGTAAGAAAGTATTCCAGTATATCGCCTAGCTCTAATATCGCCACGTAAAACACTGTTGTGCTCACGGTTTTCTCAAAGTGCTCTGACAGGACGATAAGAAAGATATTCTCCACTATGTTTATGTTTGGATCTGACTTTGGTTTGGGTCTGAAGAGGATGCTTGGTGCTTGGTTGTGGAGGGCCTAAATCTGACTCTTACTGACGATGCAAAGATGTCACTCACTTCACAACATTGTCTCTAAGGGATCTTGAGGACCTGTCAGTCAGACACCAAGGACGGTGGCAGGCATTTAAAGCACATGGAGGGGACAAATGATCCCAAATGTGTTGCTCACGTAAACTTTAAGCAATATCAGGAGATAGTGGTGCCAAGTAGATCTGGGAGCATTTTGAAACAAACAAACAAAAAAATACCTACATGCATATGCAGATTTTACATCAATACCTGCAAAAAAAAAAAAAAAAGTCTCTGAACCCACAGTGGAACTCTTATTGGAAAAAAACATTGAATTTTAGTCACCGGGTCAGAGAACATCTGAGCACATTTGTTGCTTGGAGTATTTAGTAGAAGTACTTCATGTTGGTTAGTAGGAGAATTAACAGTGCATGAGTATGTGGGCATTTTTCAGTAACGTTGTTTTAATAATTTTGATTATTCAGACAGCAAAAGAAACAGTAGCTAAAGTCTGTTTGTACATCACGCTCCAGTTGAGTTGCTTTTGACCTGAATAGAATTTCCTGTTGGGGTTGAAAAAAAAAAAACTAAACAACCCACTAATGACAAGTTGGGTCACATTAGTTTGAATGGCAATATAGGATCTGTTTTTAAGAGGGGTTGCAACTAAGAATGATAATCGTTATTGATTAATCCACCGCTGATTTTCTTTCTAGCAATGAATTAATCATTTTGTATGTAATTTCTAATGTCCATCCATCGATCCATTATCTATACACCGCTTAATCCTCACTAGGGTTGCGGGGGAAAATGCCAACCACATTTACTTGGAGCAGAAGCTGACACCTTTTGGATTTATTTATTTATTTTTTGTTCTGACTAACAGTGTAGCATCTGCAATTATTTATTAAATCGAGATGTTAAACAGAGACAAGTCTTGTATTGCTACACTCAGAGGTTTGCGGTGTCTCAACTGAAGTTATTCCCTGTTTTATGTCTGTTTGCAGGCCTTCTGTGAGACTGCCAGAGCTGTAGGATGTCGATGGTGCTGTTCGCCTCTGTGGTTCGGGTCGGGGACGGCCTGCCTCTCTCTGCATCCACCGACTATGAGCAGGACAAGGAGCTTCAGGAAACAAAGAGGCACCTCAAAGGTCTCTCCAAGAAACTCAGCCAGTTTCCTGACCGCTGCACTCTTAAGACTGGCCCATACAATGTCAAGTACGTCCTGTTTATGCTGATTTATGTTACCAGTGGTATTTTAAAGCTATCAGTCACTTTAATTAAACAGGAATGAACTAACTAAACAGTTGCATTGGTCCGTTAAATGTGAGTAACTGCCATATTAGGTAGAACACATCATATCTATGTGAATATTATTCAGAACATTTTGTTTTTGTTTTTGCATTTACTTAATACATCTTCAATTACATTCATTCTTTATGAACCCTGGGTGCTTAAACAGTCTACTGCTGTTTCCCTGCTTTCTTCTTGACCTTTTCTAACTCAAAAAAAAAAAGCTTTTTAATTTGAGTGATTTGACAGCTAGGGCTTCATTCGAGGTGTCAAACTGTTTCTAAAAGCCCAGCTGGTTGAAAGGCTTTGAAACTCTCCTAAGCAGTGTTTGTTCAGAGCTAATTGGTCTTATTAAGACGGCGGACATGCCCTTAAAAGAACCTCGACATCAGCCTTCAGTTGAGCCGGCTGTAATGTTCAACAACCAGAGACTCCTTTTGATGAGAGTTTCTTTAATCAGTGAGAGCCTGAAGCATCTGAGGAGCGTCATCAGAAGAATGTGAAGGTCAGACTGAAGCCGGCAGTGTTTAGAGTCAGAGGTTAATATGTTCTGTGATCGTCCTCAGTGTCTGTTGTAGTATCAGTTGTATTAATGTGTCATGAAAGCAAGAGGACATTTTTTAGATCATTGAGAATTACTCACTACGGTTAAACCTGTGGCATCAATAGCAGATGTAATTTTAGGAACACAGTCTCACTTGCTTTAAAATCTCAAGTACCTCTTAAAAGAGATTTTAGAAAATGCTGCATCTGATAGGATTTGTGGACTTTCCAGTGACCTTAGATAGACTTTACAATTTAGAATTTTTCCAACATACTCGGGCAGTAACTCATTGATGCACCATCAGGTATAACAGTTCCACCATTGGAATTTATCCAACTTTATTTTAGCTTTTACTCACAGTGAGATTCTGATTTATTTCCAAAGTGGTTATCAGGGCAGTCGGTCTGTGCATCCTGTCCAGAGACTTTGAAGATAATAGGAAACAGATTTGTCCCCAAGTAGAATGTCAGAGATGGTGATACAGTAGTTGAAGCTTTCTTGAAACTCTTATGACACCAACCTTGATTTCCCTCCAGTGGTTCCCAATCAAATTAAAATCTAAGACTCTTGTGATTGATTGTATTGCTTTGCATGGTTGCACCCCTCCCTGCGTCGGTGAGCTAGTAATGCCCTCGGTGTCTGAGGTTTTTGGATCACTGCTTGTTTGTAGCTTTGAATCAGGAACCTAAATGTTTGCATTAGTTCCTTTTGGATGCTTTGAATTCTTTGCTTCCTCTGTCTTTTATTGTAAAGCACTTGGTCGACTATATATAAATTCGCTTTACTTACCTACACAGGATTGGTATTCATAATACACTCACTTCAGTAATAATACAACCAACTTGTGAAACAAAAGGTCATAATCTTAATTGTCATTCAGTCTTCAGAGAGTAAGGACCCACTGCCTCTATCCGATATTTGTAAATGAGTCACTTGCTTGAATTTGAAGCAGTGCAGCTGGTAGGACATGCTGGTATCAGATTCACCCTCGTTCCTTAGATGTCGTCATCACAGGATTTTTCTTTTTGTCTAGCCTCATAATAATCATCACACCAGTCTGTTCTGTTTGTTGCCGATTATGCTCCACATCCGCTTAGATGTTGTCGTGATAACTGACTTTTCCCTCAATTGTGCTCTGAGCTACTCAGATAATGTGAAAGTCTTTGTATATGAGGAATTTAATTTGTGCTCAGTGTATCAATTAACACTGCGAGGCCAATAGATGGTGCGTCTGCTGAAGTACACTTGAATGTGAATGTAGTTACTGTGTTTAATTAACTGTGCAAGTGTGAGTTTTAAAGCAGAGATGTGCTGAAATCTTGTTTGCACTGGGTTTTGAGCAGAAGAATCACAAATGCCATTGTGCCACTGTGTATAGCTCGGCGTCCTAATTACATTGTCCCAGGGTTTCTGTCAGGAGAAAAGAGTAGTGCGCTGCATTTAGAGCAATAACATTTTTGTGTGTTTCAGTTTCACGAGCTCACTTGGAGTTGGATACCTGATGGTTTGCACTGCAAACTACCCCAATGTGCTGGCCTTCTGCTTCCTGGACGAGCTACAGAAGGAGTTTCTTGTCACTTATGACACCAAACGGATCAGCAGCGCCGTGCGGCCGTACTCCTTCATTGAATTTGGTAAGCTCCAGGACTGTACATCAAAACTGATGATGTTACCTGTTCAGATTCAAAGGACAGGACTGTCTGTGTTCATCAGTAATACTGTAAAATATGGAGAACATTAGCCTCAAAATTAAGCATATTTTATAATTTAGAGTCAAGATACGCTGTCCTGGGCATTATACAAAATTAATACTGTGATATATACCTCTGGTTTTATGTTGCAGTTCATTATGTTCTTGATACAGCAAAAAAAAACTAAAGAATCAAATGTCCATTAAGGCAACATCTATATTATTAAATTAACGGCCCAATTAGTGTAATTTCAGCTTTACAACTGCACAGAGTATTTGTTTTTTTTCTCCTTAAACACTGTGGCCATTCTGCTTGCATACCTTTAACAGAGTTGCTGCGAGACAAAGCGAGTGGGCGTTTGATATTTATTGTCAGTGTTCGTTACACACTGTGGCTGACTGATTGACCCGTACAGTATGAAGAGAGAAGTCATAGGTTCCGGCTACACAGGAAAAACTATTTCAAGATGTACTGTGAGTTAACACATTGTACAGGATTAATAAAAAAATCTAACAGTGTCGGCCAAGCTCGCTATAGCTGAAAGGCAGCAACTGGTGCACTGCCAAAGCGTTGCAGGTGGAACTTGCACTGGAGTTCACAGACGTAAATAGACTTCTGACTGTCATTGTTTGGACCAGGATGTAGCGCACGGAAGTCTCATACAAATAAAACTCAGGACAAATACACATACCGTTTCACACGTTGGATATTTTGGGAAAAGCACAAAATATGACCAGATGATGCAGGGCTCCAGAGTGCAACCATTTCGGTTCGACATGCAACCAAAAATCTGCCAAGCGCGGCTACACCATTTTCATTGGTCGCACTGGTGCGCCTGACATTTAGCAGGTCTGTTTCTGTTTGTGTCGAGTTATTTTTTCCCACCCGCTCTCTGCGTTATATCACAGATCGGCAATTTTTTTGCTCTTTGAGTTGCTTCGGCTGAGTCCTCGGCTCCTCTGTTGCTCTGGGTGCTGTTAAACTGCTCGGTTTAACTGGGCCGCTGTGCCCTGCGCTTTGACTCGCAGGTGTTTTTATAGCTTGTGACTCGCCTGTAAAAGTGAGTCACGACAGCTTAGTGTTCTATTTTAGCTTATGTTGTACTGCATATATTAGTGACATTTAAGTAATTTTCTTGCCTTGTTAGAGACGGTAGTGAATCACAATGTGTGTCTTCTCCAATGCTTTAATGCCCGTTTTGCGCTTTATTGCTGTTATTCCATTCTGGTAATACGGTTTATTTTTATTTGCCAACTTACAGTGCTCCTGCTGTTTCCCGCTGTCACACAGTATTATCCCGTTTGATTTGATTTGCCAGTTGTAAACACTGTCTGTGCCCCATGTCTGAGCAAACCCATGTGGGACATTAGGTCACCCTGGGGTTGGGGTGAGGTCAGCAGATTGTTTCATCTGGGAGGGGTTGGCCAGTTGCCCCCACTAATTATGAATGCCCTGTTGATCAGTCATGAACCCAGCACTGGTCTCTGCTGCTTCCTCTACATTCATTATCTGTGCACATTCTCATCCCCTTTGTACTAGTTGGAGCGAGCAGGTTATTGAATGGTATTTTTTTTCTTCATCATTTGTCACTCAAAAAATCCCACACAGCATCCTCTTCCTAACACAATGCAGACAGCCACTAGTTACACTTGTTATAGCAGCACTATGAGACGTGGTGAAAAACGTTGGCCACACCTAATTTACTTACTGCTGCACCTAAATGGAAAAAACAAAGGCAAGTTCCATGATTATTGCGATTTTTCACATTTCTGTTGAATGTTTCAGTTAGCAATTGAATAGATTTAGTTGGTAAAATAAAAAAATCTGGACAACGGTCCAGATGTCCAGAAATAAAGGGTTAGTAGACAAAGGAAAGTAGAGGAAAAGCAAACCCTCATGTTTAAGAATCCTTCTGGCATATACGAGGTGTGTCACAAAAGTTCCAGGACTGGTGACACAAAAGATGCATTTCAAACCCAAACTACAAGTTTTCCTCTTCAAAGTAATCCCCCTGGAGTCTAACACACTGTCCCAGCCTTCTCTACCACACCGCCATGCACTCCTGGAAGGATTCTTCCAGGATCCTCCACAGCTCCATCGTCACAGCCATCTTGATGTCGTTGACGTCTTCATACCAGGGCCCCTTGATGACCCCCTTGAGCTTGGGGAAGAGGAAGAAATCCCACGGAGCCAGGTGGGGTGAGTAGGGAGGTTGCTCCAGCACGGTGATGTTCTTCTCAGCCAGGAACTGTCGGATGCTCATGGCGTTGTGAGCAGGAGCGTTATCATGGTGAAACAGCCACGACTTGTCCTTTTCTTGTGCACTGAAAGAAGCAAACGCTGCAGGTCGTTTGTAGATGTGCTGATTGATCATCTGAAGGGGAAAACTCGTGGTTTGTAGTTTGGGTTTGAAATATATCTTTTGTGACGCCAGTCCTGGAACTTTTCTGACACACCTCATGAACTTTAGAAATTACTTGATTAATCATGATGAAAATTTTAGTTTCTGTTTATTAACATATCATTTTAGCGTTAAGCCAGAGTTTGACAGATTAAAGTCTTGCCCTGACATTGTCATGGTCTCTCATACAGAGGGTCTCTTCATTATCCTTGTTTTGCTCCTTGTATTACTAACCACATTGCTGTTGTTGTGCTGACTGTCGTCCCTCAGACACCTTCATCCAGAAGACCAAACAGCGCTACAACAGCCCTCGTTCCCTGTCCACCAAGATCAACCTGGCCGATATGCAGACGGAGATCAAGCTGCGACCGCCCTACCAGCTCTCCCCTGAGGACCTGCAGGCTATCAATGGATTCTCAGTGCACACAACCCCCAAGTACAAGGGCATAGGTAGGACATGAGCCGACACTGCACACAAATAGTCACGGAGTATGAAAGAGATTTGCTATTGTAATGGACTTCTTAGTCAGTCAGTTTTACATCTGAGGATCAATAATGTTATCTCATTTAATCTAGCTCTCATTACTTGGCACTGTTGACACTGATAGTACTGGCTTTGCAGCACTATGACACAGAAGGGTCATTGGGGATTTCCTCCGAATGCTGTATCCTTCGTTCAAGGTATAATACTGACTGCGCCTGTCTTTGGTGGGTTTTAGATATTCTCTCACCTGCGGCTTTAATAAAAATCTTACAGCCCTTACCAAAATGAATTCACATCTGTGCAGCCTTTTTTAATTACACTTTTTGATTTATAGACCACTTACATGATCATTTTTTTTTCTGTCGTCTGCTATCTTGCTGAAGGATATTTAAGCTCATTATTTTACCATAAAATAAAAAATGTAAATGTAGTAACTGTGTAATTTTAAACACTACAAAACTAGGGAAAGTCTCATTTTAAAAGTCAAAAATGTAATTGAGGAAATGGCAGTTGCAGTATGAAACAGTTGTTTATTACAGTGATGACTCAATAATCCGACCCTTAACAATCCCAAAACCTTGCTATCCGACAGGTTTTTAGAAAAAACGGACGGAACCAATGAAAAATAGCCTTAACATACCGACAGCCTTGGATTCCGACTCTGACATGACATGTTATGTCACAAATTAGGATAACAGCGTATTATCTGACTTAACAATCCGACAGATTGGCTACGTTCAGACTGCAGGACTTAATGCTCAATTAGAATATTTTTGTGAAATACGATTTTTGTTGCGAGTTCGTTCACATTTCCAGTTAAATACAACTTTTATGTGATCTGCTGTGTGAACTTCATACGACCCAAAAGTGTCCCACATGCGCAGAAGAGGATAAAACGACGTCACACACCACGAGCGTGCTCAGTGTTTATGGAAGTAAACACAGATGGTGGCGCCGCATTCTGGCCACTTCCACCCTATCAAAGCGCTCCCCTAGGGGGGAGTGTCTTCCCCCTCCCCCGACCGCGCAGAATATTCTGATATTCATCCTTAACTGGGTCTGAATATCCAGAGACCAGAAAGTGCTATTTGGACCAGCCCTACTAGTTATTATAACAACTATGAACAATAATTAACAACAAATGGCCCTTCAAGCATCAAGCCCTCTTTGTATCTCGACCTCCGTCTTGACAATCCAACAGCCTTGTTATCCGACATAAAAGAAGGTTTTACATTTAGTGTCGGATTATCGAGTCATGACTGTATTTTCATCATTACTCTTAGAAGGTAATGGAGAAGAATGGTGAGACTCAAAGATACCGTGTGAGTGGTAATCAGATATCCCTTTGCTCAGGCAAAAATTTCCACTTTGGCTTTGTTGTTCTGTGGCTCAGACCCCCTACTCTTTATAGATGCTCCAGAAAACAACCTTTTAGTACGCACTGTCACACCTCAGTTGCCCCAAGCTAAGTGATGCCACCTCAGCTCACTTAGAGCCGTTGCGCTCCCCCGTCATCATTCAGAGCAGCTCTCCACGCTTTGTTCGCTCTCATTGGACCTTGCCAGTCTCTGTTTTCGGAGAACATAAATCATTTTGTCCTGAGGGTTGAAGTATGCTAATCTGATAATGGTGACGCATCACTTTCTTTCGGTGTGCCAGAATGTTTTTGGAATTCAGAGGATTTAAAAACAGTGTATGCTCGGCTTATGTCTGCTTTTCAGGGATTTATCCTTTTAATGCTGCATAAAGACTTTTCTCTGGGGTTTGTGGTGCTATCTGGGTTCGGGAGGTGGTGGTGAGGGTGTTTGATTGCAGAAGCTGGCAATATGTGACAGAATTACAGTCAAAAGTCAATTCATTAAAACCCATGTTTGAGATTTAATGAAAAAATACACTATGTGGAATACGCATATAAAGAATAAACATGCCGATGAAATTATTTTAAAAATGCAACTAAATGGCATAAAGGAAACTTTATTGATTTATTTCAACTGCATATATTAAAGCTTTCATTTTACCACTTTACTTTCTATGCTTTGTTGGACCTTTAAAATCTTCTAATTAATCTTCTGTAGTCCATCAACCTGGTTTATCAGTGACCACCTGGCAACACTTTCAGTTTCGCCTACGTATGTAATTCAGCACCATGTATCCAGGTTACAAATTTCTTCACTTGTAAAATATGCTACATTGCTTATATCATCTGTCTGTCATCATCCGTCTCTGTTGTTAACATCCACAAGAATCATTCCCTAACAAAAATAGTTTATACTTCATTTATTCTTAGTTGATGGTACTAAGAAATATCCTAACCAGCTGTTTGATTAGCTTGGCGATGAGCACGCCGATCACACAAACATTTCGTCCAGGCACTGATTGCTGATTGGCAGGTCATTCTTGTTGGCAGCTTAAATTTCCATTCGAGATCAAGTCACTCTCTCAGTTTCTGCGTTATGTGTGTCAGCACACAGAAATCTCACAGTTGTTTTTACTGTCATTCAAATACACGGCTTTAATTGGCTTAAGGCACTCTGCAAAAACACTTAGGTGCTGTGCTTAATCCTTTCTATTGGAAAAACTTGGCATATAATGGATTTTTTTTTCAAAAATGAATAATTATATTTCATAAAATGTTGATGCATTTTACACTGTGTACGTTGGAGAGCAGATTTTGCAGAGTTTTTAACACTGTGTCCTTGCTCTCTTGCAGCTCCCACACAGATGTTGGAGCCGGTGACACTCCCAGGCATCGTAGCCTGTGTGCTCAGCGTCCTCTGTGGAGGGCTCAACCTGCTGCGAGGAGTCCACGCTATAGAGAGCATACTACAGGTGCAGATGGCATTCAGGCAGATTCAGGTTCTCTTAAAGAGACATTCTGGTTTCATACAAGACAAGTCTATTTTCATAGCTGTGTCTTTGTATTACTGTTAACAAACCTAAAGTTCGTTCAGTCATTCCTGGTAATGTATTGCCAAACAGAAGCACTTGGAGGATCAGACAAAGACAAATGAGACAAACTTTCAAGTTAGTGAAACTGATTTGTTTGAGAAAATGAAGGCAAATGTTGCAGCTGCTGACAACAGCCTAGTAGCTCACTTCCTTAGACATGCTGTGTCACTGTTGTGTGTGCAGTAAGAGATGATTTCTGACATCATGCATGTGATCATTTAAAGGTTTACCTCCAAATAAAGTAGTTTACATTATCTCACTAAATATCTGAATACCTACGTTTAGTGTCCCCTCAAACTTGTTGTTGCTACGTTATAGTACAATATACATTGTTGTCATTATTGATTAAAGAAGTTGTAAATGCTGCCAAAATGTGACAGAAATTGTCATGAACTGCAACTTTCCTTTAAGAAAAGTTTTTAGAATTCATTCAGCTTTAGTGTAAGAACATCACTCAGCCATATAACTTCCATTCTGTTCCTCTAAACTGTAAATGTCACATCCTATTCCATTAACTAGATTATTTCAGTATAAATGGGGAAAAAAAAAATAGTAACCTGTGAATGTTCTTGTCATATTGGTTTCATGATGACTTTTCTAGACTTGAAAAATAAGCCTTTTCTCTGTGTCTTTTCTCCCTGCGTGCAGAACGACGACGAGGACTTTAATTATGTGATTGCCTTCTTCCTCGGCACAGCAGCCTGTCTGTATCAGGTAAGTGATAGTGCAGTAAGGGCAGCCCATCACTGGCTGACTAACAGCCCTGCACTTTACAGCTCAGCAGCTTGTCAGCTAGACTAACATTAGCAAAAGCTCAATGCCTTTCAGCCCACTGCCTCCTCTGAAACATTTTCATCAGCTGCTTTTGTGCAGCCCCTCATGCTAAATGGAGAACCACAAGTTGGTGGACAGATGAGGGAAACAGATTCATCAAATGGGATTTCTTCTGAAAACAAACTGTTGACCAATATGCAGTCATGCAGCGTTCATATTCTTCTTTGCTGTTCTCTTTTCAGTGCTACCTGTTTGCCTACTTCTCTGTCTGGAGGAACAGTAAGTCCTTCCTGGCGTTTGCGTTGATCTGTCTGTCCAACATGTATCTGTATGAACTGAGGAACATGTGGCAGATCCTCTTCCACGTCGCGGTCGGGGCCTTCATGACCCTGCAAATTAGACTGAGGCAACCGCTGGGCAAAGCGCCGGACTACAATGTCTGACGAAGACCTTCAACACAAAGGACAAACGGACCTTTTATTCAGATGTCCTGGAAATACTGGAGATGCTACTGGGGACAAAGTGGACACGAAAAACAAGCAGAGTTCAGGAATAAAACTTAAAAAAAAAAAAAGTAAATAAAATGCAGCATCAAGCAGTTCACTAAGCACTAATGGACAGATCTCAATTTGGACTTTGGACAAAACTCTGGTGCCCCCTGAACCATATATGGACATTATTGGATTGATTTCGGAAGTTGTCTCCTCCTGACCATTGTCTGATAAGGATTTTTACTTCTTTTGAGTGCAGACATTATTTAGGTCAGAGTCCTGCATGCAGGATGTCCACTTTGGCAAACCGACTTCTCCCTGCACCCTCAAATTTAGGCATTGGATCTAACCTGTTCCGTGTAACCCACAACCCCAATAACAGCCACATACGAAGGCTACGCAAACCTTCTATTTTTGACTAGGAATGCATTGAACAAAAGTAATATTTGCATTCCAGTTGTGAAAATGATAGTAATACAGTACCTCTATGAGGACTGTAAAGAAACTTCTGACGTTAAAGAAATTTACTGAAACTTCTTAAATACACACCTGATCAAATCCTAAATAACCAAGACTTCAGTACAAAACACACCAGTCATAGTAAACGGTATCAAAAATATGCTAATGTATGTGTGAATACGATAAAAATCTGCTCAGTGCTGAAGCACGTCAGAGCTGGAAAATGAGCAGTGGTGTGATTCAACGGGTCGTCAGAGCATGAATTTACATAGAAAAGAGAATCTGACCAGACATTTGATAAGAGCTTTTGATGTTTGAGCTACAAACAGATTTCTGTTCGCACCCAAACATCACTGATGTTTGGTATTCACTGACATCGGTTCCTTGAGCTCAGTCAACAACACGTGTAGTCCAAAGATACCCTGTGGAGGTTTCTTGTAAACAAAAGCTATGTTTGCATTTTGTGTATTGTTTACAGCCTCTAATAGATGTGTGAGGTGCATTTCGTTCCTCATAAAACACCTTCAATGATTTAATTATTTTAAATCCAGCTTTGGTTAAGTCCTTGGTGAGCAGCTTGCATTCTTGCTTGCCTTTTTTGGTGCACTGCTGTGTATCTTGACACATTATTGCCACCTTTAGACAAATGGTGTAGACGCTGGTAGCATCACCTGCATGACCACATTTCATGCATGTGTGAGTACACAAGATAAACAAAACAGGGACACACTCAGAAAAAAAATACTTCATAGAGCTGGTATGTTTAAAAAAAACTCCACAGGGTACCTTTAATTGTGAAATGCAGCAACAAAATAAAACCAAACCTGTAATCACAAATATGAAACGGGCAACATACCAGTAAGACTGGAGATTAACTTAAATTCTTAAGCTTCACTTATGTCCTGCTCACATGCAGTTATCTTTCCCCCTCTTTGTGTTTTGTTGTTTTGCTCACTAATGGATGTTTTGCACATATACCTGACTTGGTGCAGGACTCTGGTTTAGGTTTTTGTTTAAAACTATGCAATGCTGCCTTGTGTGTGTGTGTGTGGCCCTCGATTAAGTTTTGTTGTATTCTGTAGCATCAAGAGACAACAATCATATCTTTGTTTTGCAATTGTTTGTCATTTTGTACACGGTTAATTTTGCTATTTATTTTCTGACTGATTGTTCTGAGACATGTGGTCACTGAAGATTTCTACAGATTTTATGAATTTTATTGGTTTTATGATCGCTCCGTTTTTACGCAGACCTAAGTTTTCACAAAAATAGCTCCTGCTTCAGCCGCCACAAACAGCCTGTTAGCATTCAAACTCTACTTCCTAGCCTGCACAGCCTCAAGCATATGCCATTGTCAAGTGACTATGTTAATAAACAGGTCTGTGTTGGCAGCAGCAAAGATGCATAGCTGAGTTGTGGGAGCCAGAGGCAGGCTGTATCATCTGAACAGCATTTGGCCTGCTTTTCCTCCCACTGAGCCCCTCGGTTTAGACATGGCTGCATCTGCCATTTATGACAACAAAAACTGAGTCTCTCTCCTATTTCCCGTGTTGTGGATATTTTCACAGTGTTCAACATAATTATTATCAGGAGATGACATTTTATCGTCGGACAGCGTGAGCTTGTTCAGGGAGTTATGGCACGGTTTTCTTGGCTTGCTGCACCATCTTAACAAGTAATTGCAAACAAATGAGAAGGGTAGAGAATTAAGTCATGCCTTTTATTGTTCATAAAAACAGTTGTGCCAAAATTGTCATGTCTTTTTTTTTTCTTCTCGATAATTCACTCATTGAAAGAAGTTAAAGGTACAAATGAACAAGAGTATAGTCACGCAGCTATACTTGATGTCCATCTGGTATCTACACTACAGTTCTGTCAGGAGACTGCTTCATTCTCGTATGATTCATCATCACACTCTCTGAATGTTCTCTGCTTTCCAGCAGCAGTGCCACACCTATATGACCTAATAGCTTTTTTTCCCACAATATGGCTCAGGCTGGATTGGGTCTGAATTGTGCTTCACTGACTCAGATTGTTAAGTTTCTCCTTTCCCAAACAAGTTACTGTAAATTTGTTATGTGAGCGTGTTGTATGAAACGGGAAAATCTTAATTCAAGTCTTTTGTACAGATCTTTCCAGGTATGCAAAATGAATGTGATTGTTTTTCATTTTCTCTGTAAAAGGTTTCTTACAACAGAGCTGAAAACATGTTCTTGTTTTAATTACTTTTATTTTACGGCAGCTTAAATTGAATTCCTTGGTCATAACAATTCAAAAATACTAGAACTAGATCTGATGTTAAGTTCAAGAATTTAAGATCTGGGAAAGATCGGTTTGACTTGAAAATGAAAATGTGTTACAACACTGCATTTAAAGCAAATCTGAATACTTAAATTTGTCCATTTTCTATTGCAAACTGACATGAGAGTTCATTACGATGCAGCCTGGTTCTCTTCAGTGTAATTGAAACATGTCTACCCCTGTAGTAGGACTCATTGTCACTGAGCACAGTTGGAACACTGAACATTAAAAAACACATTATCATATTATATATATATATATTTTTTATCATAGTACTGCCCACGCTTAATGTGGTATTTGATTATGTCTGACTAAGAGTGATTCCGTGAATCAGTGAAAAAGGAGCAGCACAACGTCGCCTAGGGGAAGGGAAATTGTGGTCCCTCTTGGAGCAAGACCTGGGAAGGGAGCTCCCAGCAAGCATCTGGTGGCCAAACCTTGACCCACGTGGTTGGCCAAGCAGAGTTTGACTCACTGGATGTAGATTCCGGGAATAAGCCTGCCACTGACTTTCTTCTGTCCTTTTGCTGTCTACATGCTTTGATTTTCAAATCCCCCTCACTACGTCCACCTCAGAGTAGCAAGTTACCGCGTTGAAAACTTTCAAGTTTTACTGAGGATTTTAATTGTGCAGTATTTAATTTGCCCTTGTACTGACAGTTTGTGTCTCCTGGTGTGCAAATGTTGCACCAAAACAATTCCCTCTGTCACTATTTTGATGGGACACCGTTGCTGCATCCTGGGCTTTGCTTTGTGATTGGTCTAAATATCTTCAAACAAGCCTATACCCTATATAATGTATTTTCCCTTATGTTAATGAGGTGCAGATCATTCTGTGCTGCACAATGTTATGGCTTTGAGAGACTAGGCCACAAATGACAGCTTGACGCAGCCATCGTGTCGGCCTACCACCCACAGGGATAAATGTCAAGGACAGGTGCAATGTAAACAGGGTAGTAAGCAAAGGTAGGCACATAGGCATGCTTCCCTGGCATCCCAGACTAGTCCAAGGGCTGTGGAATATTGACTTTCTGGCAAGGAAGGAACAGGAAGGTGCAGGAGGTAGAGTGGTATCAAACTAGATATAGCTGAGCTAACCTCAACATATAGCACTGTTCGAGACGCTCAGCGGTTGTGGGGAATGGAGAATGAAGGGCAATTCTATGCAACCGAGATAGCTTAGGTGTAGGCTCTGACTGTTGCGTGTTCTTATGCTCCAAGCATGGAGTTTCTGGGTGGCAGCGTGAAAGGGAACCTGTCTACAGCCGATAGTTCTACTAGGGACACTGTGATGCTTATGTGGGCAATGACGGAGAAACCAGAGTATTTGTGAGGTACAACCTGCCAAATGTTAACCAGAGTGGTGTTTTGCTATTGGAAATCTGCGCTCGGCAGAACTTGGCCTCAAACACCACATTCAAGCGTAAGGTGGCTCATAAGTTTACTCGCTATAAAGCACCTTAGGTGCTTAGGTGCCAGGAGTGGATGAGATCCGCCTTGAGATGCTGAACGCTCTGGACATTGTTGGGCTGTTTTGGCTGACATGCATCTTCAGTGTTGCGTGGGTGTCTGGAACAGTACCTGCAGCGTGGCAGACAGGGGGGTGGTTCCCCTTTTGCAGAGGGTTTGCTCCAGTTATCAGGGTGGAACACTACTCAGCCTCCCTGGGAAAGTTTATTCCAAGGTACTGGAAAGGATTGTTGAGTTAGAAGGAGCAGTGCAGATTCTATCCTTGCTGTGGAACAGCAGACCATGCGGATTGGGTCATGGGTAACCAGTCTACATGTGTAGACTGGGAAAAGCCCTACAACTGTGTCCCCTGAAGAGCCCTGTTGGGGAAACTGCGGGAGCACTAGGGCTGTTGTTACCAGCCATCTGCTCCTTGTACAACCAAAATAAGAGTTGTGTGCATGTTCTCTACACAAAGTCAAACACGTTTGCAGTGAGTGTTGGGAACCATCCCGGTTGCATCTTGTCTCTGATTCTGTTTGTAATATGTACGGACAGGACTCTGACATCCAATGGGAGGTCGGGCTAGAGTTACTGGTCCTTCATGTCGCACGGAGGCAGTGGAGGTGGTTGGAGCATCTGATTAGGATCCCTTCTGGGTGCCTTCTTTTGGAGGTTTACCAGGCACATCCAGCTGGAAGTGATTGCCGGGATAAACCCAGAACTTGCTGGAGGAATTATTAGGGTCCGAGCACCCAAAAGGGTGCGAAGACCCTATTGGAACTGCTCGGATTATTATTATTATTCGTGCCAAAGACACGCGTTTTTGAGGCCCTAAACATACTCGAAAACTCACCAAAATTGCCAT